TGTTTTCTTTGCTATKTTAAGGGCAAACTTGAAATGTGGGTGGATATGTTTCCAATGGACATGCCATCGCCCGGTGCACCAGTAGAAATAACACCACGAAAACCTACAAGGTACATAACACTCTCTCTTCTTTCTGGTCTTTCTTTCCTGTTCCTGTTTTTTTCTGATTCTTGTCCTTTCTTTTCGTTGCGAAAATCTTCTCGTATTTTCTACTTTCTTCTTATATTTTCTTCTCTCTTCTCTTTTGTCTGATTCTTTCCTATTCTGTTTTCCTTTCCTTCCTATCCTCTCTTCCTTTCCCATTTTCTTTCATTTATGTCGTCATCTGTTGTTATTCATAATTGTTAACCCCGACTGTTCTCCTTTCTGTAATTCCATCCTTGTTGTACCTTTTAATGTGTACCTATTCTTGATAGCTACGAGCTGAGAGTTGTTATCTGGAACACTGAAGACGTCCTGCTTGACGAAGCCAATCTGATCACTGGAGAGAAGTGCTCTGATATCTTTATYAAAGGATGGCTCGAGGGTCTTAAGGAAGACAAACAGCAAACAGATGTTCATTACAGGTAATTTCAATGTCAACCCCTACATAACGACCATACCTGGACGATTTGTAGTAGATATGTCCCTACAAGGATACTAACTACTACTAAAGAGGTGGTCGGCAAACAAACACAATAGTACAGAAGTGATCGGTATACAGATGTGATCGTTATGTCAGATGTCGTAATATAGAGTTTGCTGTAGATGTAGTCCATGGTCGGTGTGTAATGAGGTCGTTTTATAGATATGGTCGTAGTGTAGATGTGGCCATGGTTTACAATTGGCTGGAGAATTCAATTCTAGCTGATAATTTTGTATTTGTGTTTAAGATCCCTAACTGGAGAAGGAAATTTCAACTGGAGGTTTATCTTYCCCTTCCAGTATCAGAAAGCGGAGGAGAGAATTGTTATTACAAGGAAGGCAAGTTTCTTCTCATGGGACGAGTCGGAGGAAAAGGTTCCTGCTCGACTACATCTACAAGTATGGGATGCTGATGCTTTCTCGGCTGATGACTTTATTGGTAAGGCATCTCATTGATCATTGTGTTAACAACTCTGAGGGACTGCAGAAAATGTCTTAAAGTCCAGGGATGTCATCTATCCTGGATATTCCGGTAGTGTCAAATTTTGGGCCGAATCTCCCGGTCTCAAGACTCCCACAACAGTTGCTCCGTTGCTCAAACAACGGTATAAGACAAACACAAAATTATTGACGCAAGAGTCTCGACACGAGCTACAGTTTCATTCTTAAATAACTTTGCATTACCCATTTTGTATTTAAATTTGAAGTTCACTCTCGAGATCTCCTGAACTCCCGTTGTCAAGAGGRCAATTAATGGCGGACAATTTACATGACAATCGTTCAAGACTGACTTGTCTCCTTCCCATGCAGCAACACAAAASCTTTTTCCTTGAATGAATAGGTACTCAGTCTGGAAACGATTGTTATTTCAATTGGCCCGCTTTTTACGAATCGTAAACTTGTGATATGACGGACGAAACTCGACAGCTAATTGTTTGATCATCAGGTGATCTGTGCTTGGATCTAACGCGCATGCCCCGTGGAGCTAARACTGCCAAGACATGCACGCTTGACCTAATGAAACAAGATGGAAGTATACCTCAAGTTTCGTTTTTCAAGATGAAACACATGAAGGGTTTCTGGCCGTTTATTGTCAACACAGAAGAAGAAGAAGCTGAACTTGCAGTAAGTCATCCTTTTCAATACAGTTGCACTTAGGCCTCGATGGCAAGTTAATTATTCTTTTGAATTTTACAAATGAGACTTTATTCATATCAATGTTTGCATTGCTCTCATTCCTACAAATCCAAAAAGAATATTTAACACGCTGTCGAGGCGTAAGAGCACCTGAAAAGGTGTATTAATCCTCCTTTTGAAAAAAAAATATGAACCAGTAGGGAGGGAAATCTCTCTTCGCAGTTCTTTGCAATCTTCAGTGCAATCTTATGTCGTAATATCACGTGTCGCGCGCTGCTTAGCAACCGCGAGTAAATACTCAAACCACAATATGTCTTTTTTTTCAAAGGGAAAAGTGGAAGCAGAACTTGAGTTGTTGACGCAGGAAGAAGCCGAGAAGAAACCCGCWGGACGGGCCAGAGAAGACCCTCAGGCTCTTGAAAAACCAAAGTATGAAGATTAATAGTTAMTGTACTGTTGCTATGCTAGCGATTGTTGCTAGGGATGTTCTTGTTGCCATGGTTTTTGGTGAAGCTCATAATATAGTATGTAATACAGTAGACATCATGACATTCAATTWTATTTCAGCCGACCTGACGCTACCTTTACATGGATGATGAATCCACTCAAGGGCTTGAAGGCCATGCTGTGGAACAACTACAAAATGTGCATGCTTAAATGTCTCGTTATTGGTCTACTTGTGGCCCTTATGGGACTTTTCTTCTACTCTATGCCGGTAAATATTAGTTCGAGTCGACTCAGTAGCTATCTCACTGGCTAAAACATGTATTTTCTATTTTTCAGGGTTATACTGTCAAAAAGATCTTTGGGGCCTAAACTACGTTGCCAAGACAACGTCTATTTATTTATGCAGGTCATATATTTATTTCCAGTAATTCGGTGAATCATGGGAATCAAGTCGGTGTTCCGCCATCTTGGAATAAGGCTGCTTTTAAGTTAAATTAACTACAGACAGTCGATAAGTCTAAAAGTCATACACAAATATATAACAGAGATTTCGTTATTTTTATAATTCCAGTTTAAGTTTTTTTTATTTTAAATTTTGAGCTGAGTTCTCGAAGAAATCAGTTTTAAATCAGCCGCTGAGTTACGTTTTCAAAAAGCGTCGAAATCCTTCTCCATTTATCGGTGATACATTTACTGCTGCATGTTGCACTGCATCTATTTTACTTTTTTTTACTTTTGCAAAAAAATATGTCTTGATTATTCATCTTAAAATGAAGTATCCCGTCGGACTTTTCAACCCTTCCACCCCTAATTATGTTAATTAATGTCAATTTAATGTTAAGTTCAAATCAAAGAATAGAGAGGKAAATAGTTATTCCTCAAAAAATATTTTCCTCTTAGTGAAGARATATATATTGACTAACATGAAAGTTATTGATACTAGATATATAGTAGTGGGTTGGGTGATATCATACTCGATGGGATTATTCAGCCATAGATCATATCCGGTCTGAAAACGGAAGTAAAACAACCCAAYCTTCATGAATACTGCGCACGGCATCCTGGGTACAAAGTTACAAATGATTGACGGGGATCAATCAAGTCGGTTAAACTATGTCGTCATAAATGTCCAAGATAATTATTATTACATATTCATTATCAATAAGGATTACTTACACCTMGGTCTATTAGTTAATATGGTGCTTGGGATACTCAGTTTCATARAAACTCGTTTCGGCTAGTTGTAGTGAATACTGCAGCGTTTGATCAAGGATCTTATAATTAAGATGCAAAAGTTGCATTAATTTGCGTCATTATTTTTGGCTTAAGAAAAGCATGACATTTCCCTTTTGGGAAAAGAATATTGAATACTTCATGATTAGTTATTTTACTTTGAAAAATGTATATAAAGAAAGAAAGAAACGGATTAAGTGGATTTTGTACATAAAGATGGCTGAAACGAGTAATTTAATTATTTAAATATCAAGGAATTCAAGCGAGGTTATCAAAGGTCCTAGTAATGGAGTAGTATGGTAACGTTGCAGTTTTCCAGTGAAAACTGTCATTCTTCCAATGTAATGTAGATTAAGGTTCCTCAAAACTTAAAATAAASTTGATAAATGGGATAGTTATGACTAAATTGTTGCGCGCAAGTTCAATGAGTCCTTGAGTATGTTTTTTTTCGTACAGTTTTCTTTGGACCGACTAGCTATTTCTGAAAGCCCTTTCAGACATTGCTTAGTAACAACTCTTCAACTTTTAGCCGCAATGGAAACCCGGTCAAGTACAGCAAACTTTCTGCTGCATAGTTGCGGTCTAACTTCGTTGTGCCAATTGCTGTTGCTAGGTTCTAGCCAATCAACGCGCGCGATTTCGGACCAACTCGAAGCAATTTGTTGTTTTGCTTGTTTGTTTGTCTTGCTTTGTTTTTGTTTCYATTTCTCCTTTGTTTTCATTARCGGTTTAGGCGAATCAGTTGTGCGTCGTTTCCAACTTRAAAGCAGCAATGTTGTGCTGTAATTTGGACAGTATATTTACCGCATTTCGACACATTTTTGTATGTTCATAAAGAGCTTTGTGATATTTGTTTTACAAGCATTTTACGCTTTATTGAATCTCTTAAACAGCTCAAATGAAACAATGTATTTTGCTGCAAATTCAAATTTTAATTTCAAAATATCTTCGAGTAACCTTTATCAACGAAAGTGTGGAAAGTGTGCCTGAGGGAAACACTGTGTGTCAAAACACTGCATGCATGTGTTGATTCATTGCTGTACGTCAAATCATACCATTGCTGAATCCCTTGACAGCGGCACGTAGCTTCCCTGCTAGGAGAGTCTCTCGAGAAAGAGTAACAGGGAGCAGTGTGCATTCAGAATCCGATTAAATCAATTGGGGCCCCTTTGCCTTTTCAATGCAAACTTCAAATGATGCACTTTGATAAGAGATAATTTTTGGCTGTATTTTGTCTCTRATACCTATTGTCTTTCTTACACGTATTATTAAATTTTAATGACCTTTCACGGATTGAAGCCATGGTCAAAAATAGTCATTTTCTATCGCGCGCCACTGACCAGTGTTCAATCATGTATGCGTAGTGTATATAAGCATGAGCAACACAAGAAACACTCGTTTACGCAGAAAAGACCCTGGCATTCGGATTTTCGACGCGATAATTTCAGTTCTTTTCAATGTCAATAATATTTATTTATAAAATAAAAGATTTTGTACAAGTTTTGGAATTTGTGTACTTGACATTGGACACGCTTGAACCCGAGCGAAACGTTTTCTAGCCAGCTGTTTGACCACCAAGTCCGCGAACGCCCATGGAGTTGCAAAGAAATGTCTTCCTTACTACAGCGTCTTACATTGCTATGAAGGAATATTGATATTGTACATGAATTTTCCTCCGGAAACATGAATATCTATAAAGACATTTTTTGGAGGAAGTGGTATTAATATTGTATTGTCTCTGCTTGACAAGTCCTTTTGACATTAGTTCCAAAGTTTGAACAACAGTGTAATGTTAATTTGACTTTTCTATTAAACAACAATTATTCAATTCCAGTTCGCTCGCCATGAATTAATTTATTTACATGTTTGGCGAGTACTTTAGCAACTACCAGAATTTGAACAAATTTGCCGATTTACACCGATGTCATGGGCTGTCGCTACGTTAGCGAGACAATCTTCCAAACCCACCACCTTGGGTTCAACACCAAGACGATKATTCTGAACAGYGAAAATGTCGAGAGTACGGCCACAAATGCAATGTTGATGGAGTTCCACACGGACATACTGTGAACAAACGCGGCATACATTGCAACAGATAAAACATTGCCGGTTAGGAGACCGCAATAGATTATTTTACGAGCAGTAACTTCTCCAAACGATATGCCACATAGCAAAAGTGTCACCTAAAAACAATAAAAAACCTATTAGTGCTAGCGCAAATGTTTGCYCATATAAAAAACACTTTTTACGTCCTCTCAGAGGATAATTATGCACAGAATATTTGATTTTTTCACTGAGCGCGCTTCTTGCACCCGAGCATGACAGTGACATTGTACATAGTAAAGTCTGGAACTCAGCCATATTCCAAGTACACACTGAAGTGTTTCCTAAAAAAGATTTTTATTTCCTATTGTTATATGTGATGACTGAATAGCTATACTTCGACGTTCTTTTGCTCGGGTCCGAACTTGATTCAAATGTATTTGATAAGAAATGCTTTCGTCTGCCCCCTAGTGAAATTAAGAGTTGTTTATTTTCGTCATCTTTCATCGCTGGTACGTAATTCGCAGCTAATCGTCTCCACATATCTGTCGTTAAATTGCTTTAAATYCCGGGGTCACATACACATGAAAAAGTACGAGTATTTTGGGTAATAAAACACCCTCAAAGTACACAATACGACCACCTTTTGTTTACATTTACAATATTACAAACCTGCATTATTATCAAGCTGCCGAAGAGCCGTAATATCCATTCCCCTAGTTCGTTAACATGCTTGTGGGCTGCWTCAGGAAGCATTATACGGAGAGTTCGTTCGCTCAGACACAAATAGTCTATAGCAATAACCATTAACATTGCAATCTCCACAACACTGACTGTGGACCAAGAAATGCGAAATCGTCTCGGATGTACAAGACAAGGGAATATATCACCGACATATTTCGATGGCTGTTCGTACGTTGTAGCCCATGTACGGTACGATTCGCCTGCTGGCCCTGATCCTTGCGATGACCGTGCAGTCCTTGTTGAAGTCATTACTCTGTATGTAAGCAGTCTTGCAAATCGCCTTACGAGCCTTGGCGATCTTGTTTATATACACGGTCAGAAGACTGGGCCTTGTGACGTCAAAACAAAATGGTGGACGGAATGTCCACAAAATAGCTTTCTGCGTAGAATGTRCTGAAAACTCTGCCTAGATAGCCAGACAAGAGTATCTACTTCTCCTTATGTAATCTCAGTGTAGGTGATTATCTGGACACTCCATTTTGGACGTTTATCGTTGTTGTTGAGGCAGGTTTTTGGTGTCAAAATGTCAACCCATTACGTTCAGCTGTGTACAAATCCTCTTCGATTTGTCCCAGTCAGTAAGGACAACAGYGTGTTCTTTGATGAAGCTAACAAACAGGTATTTTTAACTGACTTCCTAGACGCAAGATTTGATAAAAWTAYAACATGAAAATGCAGAACTTCAGAGTGCTTGATAGTTTTTATTTATTRTGTGGAATGTCTTCAAGGTYTTTGCAGTGAACAGACTCAATAACATCACCCACGTTGTTGTCAAAGGACCTGATTCAAGGACAAAAATATTGTTTGAGTGAGTTTATTATCAGAGCATGTTCKTAAGATTTKTTTTGTATCGCCAGCTTTTTTTTTCTCTGTTGAAATGTTTTTAACTGAATTTTCGATCTTTACAATTAAGTATACCTGATGCTGGGCATGTYCACTCTATWAARTTTTCATATGATCAAAAAATACTGGCAATTCAGAGATCTCCCAAAACTGTGGTAMGTTTGATTGAGGAGTTTTAAAATTTCTTTGAATTGTGTCAACATATAATATGCATCAAGATAATATCAATATTGCCTATATTCTGCAGGACTTTATTAATTTTGCTGATGGTATAGACAGTCAACAGTACCATCAAGCGTGTAAGGTAAAATCAACATTACTTCTAGTTTGTAAAGTATGCCATAATTTTAGCAGTTACTTTTTCAGCTAGTGGCATGACTGCTAGCAATAAGCAGCTAGATGACTTGTTTTCCTTAGCAACAATGCAATATTCATTCACGATGACAAAATAGATAATTCTTTATTTTTTTCGTAGGCCAAGTCTGCACATGTTATTGGCTTCAACTGGACRAATTTAAATGAAATAGTTTTTATCACCAACCAAGGTCTTGAGTTTTTCCAGGTAGTGAATCTTTTATTCCAGTCAGACATAATTTCCCACAGGAGATGATTTAAGTTTTTATAACATATTCCAAACATTGAGTAAAGTGATAAAAATGCCTTTTAATGCCTTATAAGAAGTCTTTTTACACCGCTGCTAAGACTTGACAACCTCTTCTTGCCTATAGACGGTAATTTTAATCACTTGAAATAATATAACATCTATCAAGTAGTCTTCAATCATCATATTGTCAGTTACTTAATTTATTAAGTCAAGAAAAATTGACCCAGTAAGAATTCAGTGTAATCCCTGGTGAGATTAAATGGAGGTTATCCACCCAGGGGCAGATTAATGTACTTCCAGAAATAGGACAAGGATTTTGATGGATGAGAAAGGAGGAAGTACTGTCAGGAACTGATTTTTCACCACCCTTCCATCCTTTCCCCCTTCTTATCTTGGCCAAAACTGGATCTTATGGACTTTCTCCATTGCCCATTTGTAATCATCAAGTTCTGTGTGGGACAATCGGCGATCAGATTACAACTCAACCAATATTAAGATTTCTGGCTTCTCTACTKCACATGTTGCAGGTCATGCCAGAAAAACACAGTCTAAAGATGATAAAGAACTATAATGTCCAGGTTAACTGGTTTGTATTTTTGGTAAGTATCACTCTCTGGCTAACTTTAATTTGGACCAATAACCAAAAGACTACTAATTCTTTATTAATTAATTTAAGCTCTCAATGGGACATCACTGGTTGGCAGTGCAATAGAATTTATTGTCTATTCGATATATATGACCAGTGATCTGACTGGGTGTATTCCCTAGATTATTGGGATTCCTGTGGTTGCTGGTTATTTATTTTGTTTTGCAATTAGTTGTCTACCTTGGATCATTGGGATTCCTGTGGTAATTTTCCCTCCTATATCAACATTCTTGCTATTAGGTTTATGTCCTGGATTGTTGGGATTCCTGTGGTTATTGTTTCATCTTCTATCAACATTCTTGCTATTAGGTGTATACCCTGGATTGTTGGGTTTCCTGTGGTTATTGTTTAATTAAGGTTTTATATTTCCAGCCTGAGAGTGCAATGCTACTACTGTCGTCGTCTGGCCATGGAAACATTATTCATCCTTATCACTTTAGGGTATGTTTAACACCTTGATACAGCAAGATCTCCCCAACTTCTTCCCAGTCAAAACAAACAAACAAAAATGGATGAGGGGCTTGCAATGATATAATTATACTTTCATCACTGATTAGACCATTCAGTTTTCCATGAGATRCTTGTTATTGTCTTCCAGGCTGGTTCTGTAATGCGCCTGCCAAAGTTTGAAGTTGATCTGAGCAGTGCTTCTAAGGCACAGAAAGTCAGCCTTCTTGAGAGRGATGTCACACTAGCAAACATGTAGGTTCTGTGACTAATTGTTTAAAAAAACTCAATCTAGTGATTCAAAAAGAGGGAAAAAAGATTAAGCATTTTTGAGCTGTTRTTATTTAGGACTTGATGATCAGTGCTTCTATTTGTGCATAGATATGGCCAGTTGTATGTTGTWATTCTACGAAATCAATCCAGAGGTGTTGGTGGACTGCCAGGAGCGGAGATAGTACTCTACCAACTACAAAGGTATTATTTTAAAGCATTCCATCTTTAATTGAGATGCATTTATACAAAAAAACAACACTACTGTATGTACATATATGTTGCAGGGATACGCCAGCCAAGAAGACAGCTGTTCTTCAGCTTAACATGAATGGTAGATTTGCTGTCAATGTTGTAGTGAGTATTTTGTTTTTATATGGAAACTGATGTGTAAATAATTATTAAGCTTGCTCTCCATTCTTGTTATTATTTTATTTTTTCTACAATTAGGATAATCTGGTTCTTGTCCACCATCAAGCATCAAAAGTTAGTGAAGTTTTGCTGGTTTTTGATGATCTCTTTCTTTGTGTTTATTGTACTGCATATCACCATTATGAGTGTGCAAAACTATGTAAAACTTTTATACTTTTAGCATCATTTTTAATAGTCTTCATGACCATGATGTATTGTCACTGCTTGTGATTTGTACCATCARTCACACAGATTACACAAAAATCTGTTCTGCCTGTCTTAAAAGTGACCTGTTCTATTTATTCTAGACTTCCATGTTGTTTGATATCAAGCTTAGTGGAAAGTTTGATGGCCAAGTGACTTTCTATCAACCAGTTCTTGCACCACTTCCTATTGAACAAACCGTACTTGAACCTGGTAAATAATTACAAGCATTCTTTTGATTATTAATGGAATCAAGGTTACTAGTATGGGCAAAAATGACTGGTTTATATGTTATTCAGGTCCTGAAGATACTGAAATGACAAGTAGTGCTGAAAAGTCAAARYTAACATGTGAAATGTGTATCCTAAACTGAAATTGCATTCTCCCACTCTTCCACTCTCCCCTTCTTTTTTTCATTTATATCTGACTTTCTCAAATTCTGTTAAATCCTTCATATTTGTTTTCAAATCATTTTCTTGATAATAGGCCATTTGCATTATRRCGTAACTTTACTACAACTACCAGAGAGCCTTGCKCATTTTCATTGTTATTCAGATTTTTAATCCCCTTGGAGATTAATAAAAYAATTGGCACTAATTGCATTACAAAAGAAAGTTGGCAAAGCATTGTGGTAGTTGTAGTAAATGACRCCATAATGCAAATCAGCTATTTTGATAACATTTTATTATAATCATATTGAGAAATGTGTTGTTTGTTTTGTTAACCATTAACAATTACTTAGACTCACAAAACTGGATAGTATTTCAACCAAACATTATCATAGATGCTAAAATAGGCAAGTGCTCTTTTTCACAAAACATTTTTCACTTGATTTTCCTGAATTCTAGCCACCAAACAAGAAGTGATAAAACATTAACATGTTGTTTGTACATTGCTAGGTAGTTTGTGGGAAGTCATCCTAAAGCTGGAACCCCTAGTTACTATGATACAGGACAAGGTAACTTATTTAGTTAAGATTATCTCTTTTTTCCTATTAATCTAAGAGTTTCTTCTCCAGGTTTTTCTGTCCAATGACATAAGACTGTTCTTATCTGGTATATGGTTTTATTACAGGGCCTTCTTATAGATTTTCTTCTTCTACGGCGTGACAGCAACATGGTTATACTAGCTGTATTTAAACAAGGTATTGTTGAAAAAGTTATTTAAGCTTTTACGTCATATATATTGTATATACATAATGCAATATAGGATATGTTTGGTGCAAAACATGGCAGAAACGGATGGCACAATGTATGGCATATTAAGTTGGTGACACAAAAGCTTCATTCATTGTTTTCTTTTGTGTCTATTTGACTAATAAAATAATAGTTCAGTGATGAAAATTTTGTTAATTCATTTTGTTTCATGTTTTTGTATAGCTTTGATCCCTGGAAGACAGTCCAATCTAACAGTTATTGCAAAGATGTTTGATAAAGTAAACAAGATATATCGTGCTGCTTTAGACAATGAAACTGCTGCTCTTCAGGTAGTGAAACTTATACTATTATAAAATGGTTATAATGTTGGCTTAGAAGCTATCGTAAAAGTAGACTCCTGTGTAGCTTGCTCAATGCACATTCAATCCACTAAATGCACATTTGATACACTCAATACACATTTCAATACAAGTCAATTCGATACACATTCAATCCACTAGATGCACATTTGATACACTCGATACACATTTGATCCACATTTGATCCACATTTGATCCACTCAATTCAATTCGATCCACTGGATACACCTAACCCTCAGGGTGCCCAAAACAATCAGGCTGCAAAGGAGGCTAGAGTTTAAGTTTTGTTCAGTTTAATTAGTAAACATAGTTCTTGTCTGAATGTATAAAATTTAACTATGTCATGCCACAATCACCCAAAGTGAACATAGTTCAAAGTTCGTTTTTCTATAAATAAGTATTATGCAGTAAATGTACAACAATGTTTAATAACTTACTCGTGTCATACATAAAATTTTACTCTATGTAATGAAAGTCAAAATTGTTCATTTAGGGAACTGAAACTGGGCGACAAACTCCTACTAAAAGCCATATAAGGTATTGGGATTCCTCTAAGATTATCCAAAAGAGAAAAGAACTGTAGATTTGATTTGTTTTAYTGTTTCTTTCTCTTTTTTCTTTCATTTGATTTTCCAACCAATTCTTACTTATAATTTGATTGCAGTTTTTAAACAATACTTATAAGTTTTCTATTAGTCCACAGACAGTGGTTTCACAGCGTGATATGTATTCCCATGTGTTATCAATGTTTGTTGATAATAAGGTACTCCATTCCTTTAATTCATACCAAAATATGAGATACTACAAAGTACTGTTTTCTTTTGAAGTCAATGTCATTCTCAATTATCACTGTACAATCAGAATTTCTGGTTCTTTCAGGATATCAAATATAAGTTCATGGTTGCTGTTCTTGTAGAGTATATTAGATCTCTTAACCAATTTGAAATACATCCTGAGGTAATGTAAGCTACCTGTCAGATGTTTGTCTTTCTGTCTGTATCTATTTTATCTCAGTGTAATTGATTTGTGGAGGATTGGGATACCTGTGCTGGAACGACTGGTGACAATTATTACAAGATATAGTTTCAACATTGACTAACTTTAGTTGTTTTTTATTCTGACAGCATTATCTTTATGAATTGGTGATTAATCTTCTTGTTGAAAACAAATGTTATTATCAACTACACCAGGTAATGTGAATTGACCATGATGAATTTTTTTTATGTAGCAGGAGCGCATGTGCTGTTTTGTGGGGAGGATGAAAGTAGGAGGTTACCRAGGATGAGAATAGAAGGCAAAAATACTTGTGCATAAAAAGGAATGAAAATATTGTACAAASAAGAAAGAAGAAAAAGAAAAAAATTGTGCAAGCAAAATATTATGTCAAAAATTGCACTTTAAGTTGAACAGATCATGAGTTAATAGCTATTATACTAGTATGACTTAGTATGATCTGGCTTCATTTGACTGTTTTTGATATTTAATTGCAGTTTTTGCAGTATCATGTTATCAGCGATTCCAAGCCATTAGTAAGTATGACATTATGCTTAAGAAATAGAGACAATAGCGTATGTATTTTGACTACAACACTTGTCTTTTCAGGCGTGCCTTATGCTTTCTCTTGAGAGTACATATCCACCGGCCTACCAACTGGCTCTCGATATGTTGAAGGTACATTATTAACAAAAGTATACGTATTTAATTGTGAAAATATTGGTAGTGATAATGATGAATATTGYGTCATTGAGTTGTTCTTCCGTTGTTTAAAAATAGAGATTAAGTACAGCCAGTGAGGAGATTGTAGAGATTTTATTATCAAAGTATCAGGTATGAAAGATTTTCTTCCATTTATATTATGGTTATTTTAATATATACTACGTCATTCGTCCTTTCTTTCTCTCTTCCAAGCAATCATTCAAAAACTTTTTTTTCTTTAACTAGTCATTCATTTTTTTCTTTGTTTCATTTTTTCATTAATCAGTTGTTCGTTCATTTCTTCGTATGTAACCCATTCATTTGTTTTTTCGTTTGCTTGTCTTACTCAGTTACTTCCTGCATTGCGKTACATCCGRGCCATTGGTGCAGAAAACTCAGCGTCCCCCCGGAAATTCTTAGAGGCAGCGTCTTCTGCTAAAGATACTATGCTCTTCTACACAGGTGCTCTTTTAATTTTTTACCCTTATTATTATTTGAAAATATTAGTAAAAGTCGTAAAGCAAAGCTAGATATCGCTGTTATGACTCTGAGGGGGTTTTGTCCGTATCCCATTTCCCTTGTTTTGTCCATAACCCCTTAATTTGAAGTTCGTAGTGTGAAACTCGTATGGTGATTAAATCTTGTTGTAATATTTTGTTTCTCTTTTTAGTGTTTAAATTTTTTGAACAAAGGAATACGCGACTGAGAGGAAGTCCAGAGTTTGCCACAGGTAAACAGATTAGTGCAAGAAAACATTACCACGTTACCCCCTTCGGGGTGGGGGAGGGAGTCATTACCTACAAAGTATCAAAATACTCCAAATAGAACATTTTAATGTTAAAATGCCGTTCACTCGATAATCCAGCTGGTCTAAATTTACCAGTCTAACAATAATTTTGCTCAGTTCCTCTTCCGTTCTTTTATTAGGTGAACGTTGTGATATCTATGTCAAGAAATTCGAAGAATTGTTTGGGAATAATTCAGACAACCTTCAGAAGCA